TCTTGCTTTGATAGTTCAAATCTAAATTTAAATCTGTGCTAGAATAACCAGCCTTTTTAAATTAATGTAGATGAAACACCTGATAAAAAGCAGAAGGAAGAGCCTGAGAGTAAAAGAATCCCCAGCACATCAGATGATGAAACCCTGAAGCAACCTGAAGACACCCAGACCACAACAGAAGCAGGTAAATAGATGATAAATACTTTTCTTTACATTAACCTTTCTTTACTTTCAGATCTTTCTAATTCTACATTATCTATTATAATGTAGATATTTTGTCAAAACTATAATAAAAAACGATCACAATCACAAGTAACGACAAGTAATGAATTTCAGTAAATTGTCAAGAAAATTTTTTTTTGAAATTTGTACTTGTACTTTGTACTCAAGAACAAAATGAAGAGGCATTTTGTTTATTTTTTGTTTTTATAAGCGATTTTGTGACCTTCACAAAACGTTTAAGAATCAACTACTCTTTTTCTGAGATCTTCTGAAATTACTTTTGATTGTGGCATGATCCATTTCCACTAATCTTTATCGTGAAAGCCAAACTCGCTAAGCTTCTGGACGGTATATAGGACTGGGCTGCCTGTTATCTAATTATTTAACCATCTAATTGTAATTGTTGTAATTCCCATAATGAAGTTTTTAACTTTTTATTACAATTTTGTTCACACAGATGATGTTCCATAATATTATTTCCTTGCTGATGAAGAGTGAAATCTGGCCTGAGGACACTTGATATACCATATGTAGAGGACTGCAGTAGCAGTGTCTATGGAGAAAAAAATGACATCTTACTGGAAAGATATCATTAAGCTCCATCCAAAGAGATGATATAAATACATGCAATATGTTATCTTCGGAGAAAGTGGAATTCTTTGAAGACAAAATAAAACATGTGACTTGATGTTGTAGAAAAAGAGTGGCAACAGAACTGATTAGTTTTATTTGGAAACCTGGCGGCATTTCGTATATGTCGTTGTCTAGTTCCAGTTTTGTGTAGTAATTAGACAAGTGAGAGCCATTCTGCAGCATCACCACTTTGATGCTTTATCATTTTAAGTTCCTTAAAATATGTTTATCAATGTATGTTGATGCAAAGTTTGAAAACTCTATTTCTCAAGTGTGGCTGAATTAAGGAGACACAGCACTAATATCACTGTAGTGAAACATCACTTTTATGTCAGTTCTCAACACTGCTTAAGGATTGAATGGAGTCGTAAGCTCATTGCACAGGACATGAACTGAACCGGATACAGTGGTACTGAAAGACATGTGACTGTCATTCACCTGAAGAACAAATGAATAATCTGTGTTAGTAACTTTTCTGTACCTTAAAATGCTTGTTGAAGAGTGAGTGTTGAATTTTTAGCTGCATGTGTTTATTATTTTAATGTTATGATTTATTTTGTGTGATACATCTGTTGCAATAACAAATGTCTATGCTGTAGAGTGGAAATATATATATTCTCTCCTTCTGTGTCATCAGGACATAACCCTTCCTTACATGCAGAGCAGGTCAGCTAGCTTGTTGAGAAGATAGCAGCTAATATTTTGTTTAACTTATTATTTAAGTTTTGGAAAGGATGATAACTTTGCCAAGTGGCTCATATGAAAATTATGTAAGACTGGTAATTAACAAAACATAAACTGTTCTTTAATTTGGAGTCTTTCAAATTCTACATTATCTACAATAAATGTACATATTTTGCCAAAACTCTTACAACGACTGAACAAATCCACCAATATTTCAGTATTAATTTCAGTAAGTAAAATGCAAGAATGATAGAAGGAATTTTGTATTTGGGACTAATGTTTATACAGTGCTATACTGTAGTTTCCTCTGTCTTTAAACTGACCCTCTAATGCATCATTACAAACCTTTTTAGAGCTATTTGTCTCAAAGGTTTTTGTGAGTGTAAATTACCTTTGTACGTCACAAAAGAAAACAAATTAAGGCAGGTATATAAATTACAGATACTGTATTTTGCCTGTAATACACTCATATTTTGAGTTAACATCAAATAGTTTGTTAAAATGCCTTCAAAAAGGACATGAGACTTGCACAATATGATGTTTCAGGAGTGTATGACTACATAAAATGTTAATACTATCCTGCGCACAACTGCCACATCACATCATTTCAGAGTAAAAAAATAGAACTACAGTAGAAAGCAAATTCTGAAATGGAAAAATGCAGAGAGAAAGTAAGAATTTTAAACTATAAACTTCATAAAAGGAAACCAATATTCCTAAACTGATAGCCACGTGGTCTTAGCTAATTATTACCCTTGAGATGTTTTTTTCTATTTGTACTTTAAAGTTATTCAAACTTCAATAACCTACCGTTGTAATAGAAACGATCAAGCAGTACTTTGCAAATTCAGAAGATGTGGGATACAGCATTTGTTAATACATTGTGCCACAATCCCTGCACCACACAGGGAGAATGAGGACCTGTGTGTAGTCTCCTGACAGAGCCATTAATCAACGCACTGAAAATCCCACAGCTGTTTGCAGAAGAGCTGGCCTTAACTGGATGAGTTGCATACCTCTTCAAGACGGCAAGATCTGCTCTTGGGCCACAGGCTGAGGAAATCCTGGACAGGTCTAGCCCACTCGAAGTTCCCAAGATTGTGCTAAAGTAAAATGTACAATACCACGAAAGGAAACATAAATGTAAAAAAAAATGTTTCAGGAATGTTTTATTAAAAATGACTAACCAAAATGTATGTGTTTTGATTTTAATAAGATTTTTAAAATCTAATTTATGTTCAGTAACTTCTGTGTGACATACAGTATGTAACACATACTTAGTGTTAGTGCGAGCAGGGGCAAGTGGCCCAGGGAGGAGGAGAAGGAACGACGAAGAGATCTAGAAAGAGATTTAGAGGAAGGCATTGCTGGTCACAGCAGAAGTGGAGTAGTTCAAGTAGGCAGCTGGATCAGCATGACTATATTTTTATTATATTGCTGTATTACATAGCTTGACACAAAAGCAGTATGCTCTGGTCTCGGTAATGTAGGAAGTGGTAAGTAGCACAGACACAGACTGGAGGGCGCTGGCCCAGAGAATTCCTAAGGAAGTGCCACTCCCAGCCACTGACTTCATAATAGAACAGTTTGTCAGTGGAAACTCTAGAGCCAGGATCTCTCCTCTCAGCCATCCGACACTACAAAAACAGATATTTCACAGAGCCAGCTGCTTCTTTTTTTCACAACAAATAAACATGTTTGGTGCTGTTCATTACAGAGTTTTTCAATGTTAAGGATTGTTATGTATGTAACATACAATACATATGTAAAAGTTATGTATTGAGCTATCCTGCCGTGGAGGTCAAACACACAGACAGGCCTTGATAACATCTGAGAAGACATAATAAATTTAAAATTGGATCCACAGAGCCTGAAGAATGTACATAAGTCTATGTAATGAGAAGTATTTACAAATTATTGATTTAATTAATCTATTAGAATCTATTAGCAAGCAAAAAAAGACAGAAATTTGGGAATATATGAAGTATATAGATACACAGAAGTGAAAAATTTAAAATGTTACATCTTACAATGCTTAAGTTTGATCGTATTTAGAGTATTGTGTAAATATTTCTGGCCAACATGATACAAAAATGTTTTTAAATTTCATTTAAAAAATATTAAGTGACCAGATACATTGATCTCATAGAATTCCCCCGTGTTGACACGTTAAAAGAATCATACTTCACATTCTGCAAATCCAGAAAGCACATTTATTTAGACTCCATATTCACATACTGTACCATGCTAAAAATTATGCACTCCTAGGGTCAGGAGAATGGAGGATTTGGGTATTTTTAAAATAAGTGAGGTGTTTCACCCATTTCAAAGAGGTGTCGATACGAAAACAGACTTCTAATAATAATGTCAGGTTGACCTGTTCTTGCATGTCTAGGAAAGCTGTTTTCCTGGTCAGGATGTGCATGTTGACTGCAGTATTAATGTGCTAATGTATATAGACTTAAAAAAAAGTTTCTTGTAATATCTTGAAACGTTTTAAATTCATATAAACATTGTGTAAAACTCAAAACAGTGGTTTGTACCACATATATAAATACCTACAAAATTGTAATTTACTGGCAAAAATAAAGGGATAAATATTGGGTGGTGGCTCAATACGCTGTATTGCATTGCATAATTGTCCCATCTGCTGGATGGAATTGGAATTACAATTTTGATACTGTATATTAAGATTAAAACTGAACCTGCCCTGGACAAAGAATTTCAATTTGCCATGACTAGATGACGAGACCAATCAACAGAGTGGTCTGAAACTATGTGTATCTGGGGGTGTTTTAATCTGAAACAGTGCTTTGTTCGGTGCTTTGTTTTCTGTGCAATAGTGGTTCAAGCCTCTTGGCTGGATAAATCTTCGTAGATGAAGATTTGTTCACAACTGAATTAGTAGAATTCGGGATTTTCTCAGATAACCTGTGTGTGAGAATATAACAATAATCTACCGCCTCATATGGTACTGTTGATCACTGAGCGACTTCATTCAGCTTTCTGGGGTTCCTGTGTACTAGATGTGCTATGTTCCACCTGTAGTCTCATTTTTAAATGTGTATGTTTCCTTTCATTCACAGTAGCACAACTCATCAGACCTTTTAACTCTGCAAGCACTCTGTGTTTTGAAATTGTGTATTCCTTTCTTCTGGCCTGTACTTTTCCACAGCTTTATCTCTAAGTTGCTTCAATTCGCTAATTGACATAAGGATCTTACAGACACAGATGCATTCATTATAAAATCATTTGAACAACTACAGTATTTATGCACATTGACACATCCCACTCATCCAATGGCTAGTTAAGGTAATTTGTAAAACCTAAATCAATTTCATTTAGGGAATTCTTATGCCATCATGACTTTTTCATTCTTCTCTCATATTTTCTATTTCTTTCTTTTTCATTTTTTTTTGCTTTGGATGCCTGTAGTAGGTTGTGTATATAATAAATACCGACTGACATTTCAAAGTGTCTTGACTGCAAGCTTTAAGCAACAAAATGTGAAAACGCAAGGATTTGCACTTTTACTGGATACTTTTACAAGAAACTGTATGTCCAATACCTGAATGCAGGTTAGAGATCTTTTTAATACACCTGTATTTAATTATTTATTTTACACTGTTAGCTCTGTATTTGGCATTATTGACTATCCCCACTATGTCATCCTACAGTATAATATTCCCAAGCCTAATCTGAATGTTTCTGAACTTTTGCTTTGTGTCCGGTCAGTTGTTTGCAATTTTCTTCTGTTAAAAAGCATTCACAAACATTTCCAGTGCCCTAGGTACCTACAATTGCTCATCTGCATAGTTTATTGACATCATTGGTACAATGTTTATTTTCAGCAAAGCATATTTGTTATTACTTCAGGTCTTGTCAAGTTCTTCTATGTCGTAATACAAATCAACTTATTATTCTTATTTACTATGAGAACCAATGCAGTTTTGTATTTCTATCATACTGTAAGTGTTTTGCCCTTTTTAAAAACCCCAAAAAGATTTTTTTGGCTGCTGCATTGTGCTTCAAACACAAGTCAAACATAATCTTGGACATATGTTTGTACAAATTTTGTAGAAACTAGAACTGTGTAGTGTAACTTTAAATACCAAAACAACACAGTAAACTATGAAGGTGTACAGTAGTCTCAATTAGAGATCTGTAATCTAATTTAAATTTGTGAAGTATTTATCTAGAATACAAAGAGGGCCAATCAATAGAATAATACCAATTACAATGATCACCATAATAGGGACAACAGTGATAAATCTTATAGCAGGATTGTATAAAATATCTACATCTAAAACATCAGCTATATTGCTGATACACAATTGACGAAACCCAGGACAGAAGCCCGTTGAACTCCCTTATCACCTCGAAAAGGGATGGAAATTAATCTGACAGACTTTACACTCTGTACATGTACTGTATACCCAGCATGCGAGAGAGTATTTATATTGAAACAAGTAAAAGTTTATTCCAAGCTGAAAAGAGAAGAAAAGAAACTCCATGTGTCACACACCCAAAGAAGGCTCCACAGCCAAAACATTGTGTTTCTTTTCTTCTCTTTTGTTTCTGCTTTGCTTTGCAAACATAACATGGCACCTGTCACAAAGAAAGCTACTTACCGCAAGCAAAGCACTTACCGATAGTCACAAATAAGGATCAATCACTTGGAACTTTGATCACCTACAAATTTAAACATGAAACAACATAACACAACATGGGAAGACAGCATTTCCTGTTTACTGTTACTGTGCAGTAACTGTTAGTCCTGGGCAATGCATTGCAATTCCCTAAGAAAACAGTGACACAGCTGGTCAAGGTGCTCTCAGTGGTGCTTCTGTAGAGAGTGGTAAGAATTGGGGGGAAGGTTTTCCCTCCTCAGTCACCGCAGGAAATAGTGAAGCTGGTGTGCTTTTTTGGCTAGGGAGGTGGCATTGAGGGACCAAGTGAGGTCATCTGTAATGTGTACACCAAGACACTTGGTGCTTCTGTCTCCACAGGGAAGCCGTTGATGTGCAGTGGGGAGTGATCAACGTGGGCAACGTGGGGAGTGATCTTCAATGAAAAGGCATGTACAGTGCCTTGCGAAAGTATTCGGCCCCCTTGAACTTTTCAACCTTTTGCCACATTTCAGGCTTCAAACATAAAGATATAATTTTTTTTATTTTATGTGAAGAATCACCAACAAGTGGGACACAATTGTGAAGTGGAACGAAATCTATTGGATTTTTGAAACTTTTTT